AATAAACAATTCTGAACCCATGTTTATAGCAATTAACAGTCAATTAACAATTTTATGTGCACTTCGTTGAGTTGTGCTTACTTGAATTCACTGAAATATACTTTGTTACTTCTTAATTCTTCCTTTATGACAAAAATATTTAATTTTCTTAGTAAAAATAAAATACCCAAGGATTTGAACGGAATACCCAGGAATCCAAGACCAAGTCAAAATACCCAAGATCTTGGGTAGATACCCAAGCAGTGGTCACACTGTTTGTAGTGTTAGATAATTTCGAAGAGTGCCACCAGCGTCTGTTTTTGCATTTGGATAGTATGGAACGCCATGCAAATAGGTAATATGGAACGCCATTGGTGCCAAAATAGATTTATTTTTTAATATTCACTGATTAAGACAAAGTTAGGAACTGGAACCCAGTCTAATTTTTAGGTGGCGGCTCATTTTCTGACTCTTTATTCTTTGGCGCCCCAACAATGCTATTGTCACGTCATGTTATGAGTTGATTAGGCCTACTTATATTATACCTACTTTATTCCCTTGTTTGTTTTTTTTTTTTGTTTTTTTGTTTAGAAATCTATGCTAGTATAATTTGATAGCCAAAGCAGCACTTGCCTCCAAATTTATCAACATGCTGTTGTATGTACAGTTAACTTCGGATAAGTCGAATAGAAAGTGACTGTTAAATTGTTACGATTGTTATTTACTCATCAAAAAATACACGAGGAATTTGATATCGTCGATCGTCGTGTACTGAATGTTCCATTTTTTAGTATGGAGAATACTACACTCGTGAAATGTTTAAAACAAAACAATGACGAATTTTCGACTTATGGACAGTTGAGGTTGAATAGGTCAATAATCAAACGAACACAAAAAGAAAAGAAGCATAATTTTAAACACGTTTTAACTTTTATTTATTAACATGGTACGTCGAGTTATATTCCTGCCTTACTTATAGTGGAGAAATTCACCATGAGGTTTGGGTGATAATGTTTCTAGATTTTGTTTTATTTAGCATCTCGCATAAAAAAAATTCTATTTACATCATCATAAAAACGATACAATATACCCCGGTGGGGGTCCACGGATATTTGATGAATTATGGCGAATTTTTATTACTATTTGATAGGCATCGAGTAACTATAATATGACTTTATGTAGGCTATGCTTTCTAATGTTGAAATCAGCTTCCAAAACCAAAAACATTTTGAATAAAGCAAGAAACAAAGAGTATGCAATGTAACCATCTAATTTAGTGAAAGTGGAATTCTATATTTTGGAAATTTTGCATGAAATCTGTCAACCACGTTTTCATGGTCGAGGTTGCTTCACCTATCACGATGTATTCCAACCATCATGAGGCTATCTAAATGAGCATTTGTCATAACAGAACGCAAATTATTTTTAATTAGTTGAATTAGTCATTGAATTGTTATTGTGGTTGTTGTGATGAAAGGTTAAAACATACGATATGGTGGCTAAACGAATATTACATGTAAATATTTTTTTTAATTTGTTTGTTCCCCGACAAAAGTTATCGTCTTCCCCGACGGGGTGGG